GTGTGTCTGTGTGTGTGTCCGTGTGTAAACACGAGAACTTGAGTACCGTTAGAGCTAGGTTGATGAAATTTATATATAAGTATTTTATCAAAATCGTAGATCCGTATCAACTTTTGAGCGATTTCCGATAAATGGAAGTGGTACTTTTACTACTATGAATTTTTCAAAAGCCTTTAACTTGAGTTCTATTTAAGATAGATAAATGTAATTTGATATGTCAGTAAAAGATCTAATTCTCTACCTTCTGTCAAATTTTGAGTAATTTCCGTTGAGCGGAAGTACTTATTTACGCTATTTCCGATTTCTCAAAAAACGCATGTAAATTTATAAAGTACTAATAATATTGCGCACTATTATGCACATCTTTATTTAGCGTTCACTTGGTGTGCATTTCTTTTTTCTACGAGATTATATTCTATTTTTAAAAATGTGAGTATTTAAAATGGATTAAAAATCATGTCTAGAAGTCTATATCCCGAGTTGCCATCCCCCGTAGTGTTATATTAGAATATTCGAGAAAGTTTAGGGGAGATCACTCCCGGTTTATTTTTTTACGTTTTAATGAGATTGAACATGTCTACATAAAAAATCTGAATGCATTTTCGTTGTAATATTCACTAAATACGTTTATTTATCTTACAACTTACTTTAGTTAATTTAGCGTATTTTATTTATTTTGGTCTGCTCCTTTTCACTACATGAGTAACTAGGTCAAACGGGGGGTGTATTTTAATCAGGCCTTTTATTTTGTAGGGTCTACAGTACAAATCCTGTTGAACCTTGTATTTTTTGTCTCTGAAATAGTGATTTAGCTGAATCTTCGCATGTCTACTTAATAATTATATTTAATGCGTAACCGTGATAATAGTCTCATATTTTAAACTTTGTTTAGTTTAACAACCATACTTGCTAATACATTTAACAAATAAAATCATTTAAAATATTGAATGTGTACAGAATTTTGTATACTAAAACGTTTTTAAGTTTTAATTGAAAAATGTTGTGTTATTCCAATTGAAAGTTTAGCGTGTGAGTTGTTTTGCTTTTTCGCCCACACAGCATCAACGGCGTGGTCTAGCGGTAGATACATAGACTATGTAGAATGTTTGGAGTTCAATTCAATAACACGTTCATGAGTTCACCCAGCTCTGATGGGTTCATAACTCACATTAGGAAAAGGTAGGGCGGCTGAGCATAGTGCTGACCACACTACCCTTTCATATGCCGAGTCACAGAAACAGGTTAACTCTACTTCACCTGCCCCATTGTCTGGAGTTCAAACTGGGTTCAGGTCAGCAAGCTCTGATGAGTATCTCACTCACGTTAGGGAAAGTAAATGCGGCTGACCACACTCATATGCAGAGGTCACAGAAACACGTTAACTCTACTTCACTTTCCCTATGGACCGTCAGGTTCCAAAAGTGAACACAGACATACGCCTTGTCAGACTTTCTTGTAGGTAGTTGGACTGTGGCTTTCTGTTGTTTGCCGTTACTCATCAATGCTTCCATTCTGTTAGTGAATGACAGTACCACATGTGTTACTTCTAACTTGTGGGTAAAGGGTGTTTTGTGCTCACCGCCTACACAACTTTTAGTTTATCGGGTGGGTTGTCTTGTGAAGGCAAAAGGTGGGAGTCGACAGTCTATTTATCACCACTTTTACAGTTCAACTAAAAGAGTTAGAGTCGATTCCTTTGTATCATTCACCTTTTTCATGTGTTTGGTCAATATAATTTGACACAGGCTTTATGAATCAGTTAAGATCTCCTGTTAGGTTTACTAAATGATCCGTTTTCAAACAATAATATGACATACAAAACTATACAAGATACTTAATAAAAATAATTTAGTTTTATAATAACAAGTTTATTTTAAAAGATAAATAAAACAAAATACAATAACCAGATATTTAACAATCCCCAGCAAACAGGTCAACTCTACTGCCAAACTCCGCAACCAACTGTCGTACACATACACACGACACAGCACACGTCAACTATCAGTCTCCACGTGAACACCTATCATTCCATAACACAACACAGTCAAGGGCTACAACTATGTACACATTAGCAGTACCGGTCTTTGGATAACACAATCAGGGGAGGCTACAAGTGAGGGACCCAACTTCCCTCCCCTTCACATCACTTCTTGTAAGAGATCCACTGTTTACAATTTAATTTGCCGCAACCAAACGGATGTTCCAACTCTCGACGAGTTCTAGAAATACAATCATTTCGCATTCGGGCAAGTGATATTCGGGCGTATGTCGTATTTGCGCATGCGTCCATTCGGGTGTTCGTCGCATTTGGTCAAGTGTCCATTCGGGCGTTTGTCGCGTTCGGGCAAGCGTACATTCGAAAAATTGTTTTTTAGGGCTTTTTTTTTTAAATGCGTTCATCCATATTTGTGGAAAAGGCGATCTAATGAATTAACAAGTTAAGATAGTTTAAACTTGGGTCTATTTAATTGATCTGTGTTATATGGGTCTGTGAGTCTTAGTAATATGAGTTTTTTATGCATATGTGTTTTAATTGGATCTTTTTCTGTGTAACATGCTCTGTATATAAGTCCCTGTTACATTTATGTAACAAGATTTTAAATATATGAGTTAATTTAGTTTTGGTCTGTACTATGCCTTTACGATACTGTACTACATTGGAAATTGTTTGTTTTTTCTGTTTCTAAAGTGTTTTTTAATGGACACATTCAATGTTTGATATTAAAATTTACGACGGACTGTAAAGGAATTTAAAGTAACTTTACTAGAGTGTAGGCAAAATACAATTGAATAAATGTGTGTTCTTACACACATTTGAAAACTTGTGTAATGGAGATGTATACATAGACAAGGGACGCAATACTGTTCACTCAAGAAAATGACTGGATGTAAAAAAAAATGTAAAAAAAATGTTTAATCATTACAATATATTCTATAGTCTACAGAAAAGATAATTTAATTTCGTTGTAATATTAACAAAACACTTTTTTTTCAGCTTAAAGCCTATTTTAGGTAATTTAGCGTATTTTATATATTTTGGTCTGCTCATTTCCACACTACATGAGTAACAAAGGTCAAACTTGGGTGTGTTTTAATCAGGCCTTTTATAATGCAGGGTCTACAGTTCAAATCACGTTGTTTATTGGTTTTTCGTTAGCCAAAATATTGATTTAGCTGAATCTTCACATGTCTACTTAATAACTATATTTCATGCTAATACATTTTACAAATAAAATAATTTAAAATGTTAACAGAATTGCAGTTATGCTCGTTTTGTATACTAAACGGTTTTTTAAAGTTTTAATCGAAAAACTTTGTGTTATGTCATTTGAATGTTTAGCGTGTGAGTTGTTTTTCTTGTTTACCCTCACGCTACATCAACAGCGTGGTCTAGCGATAAATACCTAGACTTCTAACTCAACTGTTTGGAGTTCAAGTCGGTAGAACGTTCATGATTTCACCCAGCACTAATGAGTACCTAACTCGAGTTAGGGAAAGTAAAGGCGGCTAACCACACTATCCACTCATATGCCGAGGTGACAGAAACACGTTAACTCTACTTCACTTTCCCTATGGACCGTCTGGTTCCAAAAGTGAACACAGACCGACGCCTTGTCGGACGTTCTTTTAGGTAGTTGGACTGTGGTTTTCTGTTGTTTGCCGTTACGCATCAATGCTTCAATTCTGTTAGTGAATGGCAGCACCGCCTGAATCACTTCTAACTTGTGGGTAAAGGCAAAAGGCGGGAGTCGACAGTCTATTTATCCCCACTTTCACAGTTCAACTAATAGAGTTAGAGTCGATTCCTTTGTACCTTTCACCTTTTTCATGTGTTTGGTCAATATAATTTGACACCGGTTTTATGAATCAGTGAAGATTTCCTGTTAGGTTTACCAACTGCCTCCGTTTTTCAAACAACATTATACTTTTTTTCTCCTGATGACCGGAGGCAGCCATTTTCTAATGCCCTTGTGACCTATTTTGTCAGTGTGGACAGTACCAAACTTTATCCCGATTCTCTCATATGGAGATTTTCGTATGTATTTTAAGGTCTTATGGTGACGTAAGTTACTTTAATTTCACCATAGTAATAATGACCTTTTATCTACAAAATAGGCACCCCGACCATGACAGAGAAGTGTGAAAAAAATTATCTTCCATTAACGAAGCATGTGATACGTACAACTAATTACTGTACAACATGAAGCCGTGAAAAAAATATTACACAACTCATGACACAATTGTTAATAGAGAAATAAAAACATTTTACTCAAGGAAAGATAAACTATAAAATAATACTGCATTTTTTTAAAGCAAAAGTTGTTTTTCTGTAATACCGTTTCATTAGATACCGTATTCTAATTTTGATTTGTGATGTTTATTTGTTTTTTAGCTAATGTTATGTAAGACCTTAACAAAACACCATGTACACTATTTGTAGTTGCCTGCAACAATAGGTTGTTTATAATGAAATGGGAGACGTCTTATTATTTAAATACATCCTAAAGTTTACCTGGCATGCACATGAAAATTGTGATGGATACGATGATTGTACTGTGGATCTAAGTTGGCCACAATGATTAACATTAACTGCACTTATAACCGTTGTATACGCTACTAAACCATGTCAAACACATTATTCATTACAAATTAAAATTAAGTTGCAATTTTCACATTTCCAGTTTAAACATTTAATTAAATGTTAAAAATAAGATAGTAAAACACTGTGTAAAGAAAAATAAATTCATTTCCAACTTTTAAATTTATGTTTAATAGAATACTTTGAAAACTGTAACATATTTTTTAAAAATATTTAAGTATGAAAATTATAATACGAATAATATTTGTAAAGAAGAGTTCAAATTGAAATTAGTGTTGTAACGCATTTTAAAAAAATTAAAACAAAACTCAATGAAAGCGCATGATAAAACACATGCGATGCAGAATATGTAACAGTAGAGTCTATGACTTCCAATGTTGATACTCAGGGCATACACACATCAGACAGTTGAGCTGTACTCTGCACGATGCCTCTCTGTAGAGATCACTGCTTCAGTGTAGAGTTTCATTGTCTCGTACACAAGTATATACTGTTGCTGTAGGTAAACAACGAACATATATATCATAGGCTTTTTTGTATGTGTTGCATAAATTAGAAAAAAAAAATCGAAAACATTTGCAAAGTGTAGATTGGCACACATTGAATGTACACAAGTACTTGGACAACGTAAGATAAGGAAAATAATTGGTTAGACTTACAAGTGTAGGAATGGCGTGCGGTCTGATGGATTTGACTTTAGCAACAACAACAGGAACGGTCAAATAGTTCTCTTGGTCCAGTCTGCCCATCAGAGTTGTCACAACATAGGCCAGTCCACTCAGTTCAGCACCGTTTCTTGGAAAAAACAATTAAAAATACAAACATAAGGTTAAAGTTCAAAGGTCTGAGTTAAGTTTGTTTACTTCAGATGGTCATCTATAAATATTACTGCAGTTCTCCAGTTATATCTGCAAATATCTAATTATCTACAGTAGTTAAAAATAGTATGGTTAAGTAAGTTTTGTACTTTACTTAATTTCTATTTGACTCGTAGATGTAAACTTTTACGTTGGTGTTGTTGTAAAAAGAATGGCGATGGATGGAGGGGGGGGGGGGAACTACACCATGTATTACGTATCCTAGATACAACACTAAGTAGGCTTAAGTTCTACGATCCATATGGAAAAGGGAGTATATTTCATAACCTTTTTTACACTGGTATATGAATGTGGGGCTAAACTATCCCCATCCGCCTTTACTTTCCCCAACGCCAGTCATGTACCCATCAAGCCTGGATAGAGTCAGAAATGTCCGGAAACACCAGTCATGTACCTATCAAGCCTGGATAGAGTCAGGAATGTCCGGAAACACCAGTCATGTACCCATCAAGCCTGGATAGAGTCAGGAATGTCCGGACCGATCGCTCTACCACACCACCACGACGTCTCAGTTAAAGATCTATCGGTCTATATACTGCGTTGGTGACTTTAATGGAACTGTGTATGTCGGGGGGTTAAAGGTGACGATGCTATCTGATGTTATAGATTTAGTCTAGCTAGTGGTGGATGGGCGTAAGTTAAAGCTTATATTCAATACCAAAGACAACACACAATTCAAACATGCATGCATGTACAATTACGCATATGGTTGCTATAAATAAATAAAACGCATAACCAACACACTTGCCTGCACGTGTAAACTACTGACTTATCCGGAGTTCTCAACGTGCGCGCGTATTGAACAAACGGCAGGAGATTTTTGGGTTCGATATGACGCTCTGTAAACGTGAGATGAGTCACTTCTTGCGTTTGTTTCCCCTAAGAGAAAGGAACAGAAATGTTTTTTTTTTTTTACAAGCTTTTATTTAACTCACTTCCTCGTCAGTCTGTCGTCAGTCGTCAGTCTAGACGGAAACGCAGGAGTGAAAATTCGGACAGTTCTACTTGACCGACACGATTCACAGTTGGCACGTGGGTCAAGACATGAAGACAATGCAATCTGAAACTAAATTTGACTTAATTGGGTGCCTAATTGATTTTTTATGAATTAATTAAAATTTGGACCGAATTAGTAGGCATGTCTAGCCAACCACACCACACGCGTCATCAATAGCTGTGCCATCACGACCTCGTAATGGCTGCGTTCAAAAACCATTGCGCGCCTACTGAACGTGATATTCAGTAGGCGCGCAATGGTTTTTAGTCATGTAACTCTATTGTAGATAAAACATGTAAAGTACTGAAAAAAAATTCATAAAAAACGTTTTAATAACAAGCTTTTATGTTATGATGCACTAAAAAGTAGAAAATAAATTATAGACTACTATTTAAATAACTATAAAGAAAAGCGTGGGTGTCTTCCTTAACATTAGTAAAGGTATCCAATAGATACTAAAGTGACCCACGCTTTTCTTTATAGTTATTTAAATAGTAGTCTATAATTTATTTTCTACTTTTTAGTGCATCATTACATAAAAGCTTGTTATTAAAACGTTTTTTATGAATTTTTTTTTTAAATTAAGTTCGAGCTACAGTGTCCTTTCTTACATTGTAAAAAATATTGGTGAAAAATGAAAAATTCAAAGCAGCATATTAATACTAGTAAACTTAAAAATCCCGAAACACAAACATAAACACTATGTAGACATTTTAATATACACCAACATTTATATTTTATATAAACAAACTTCTATGCATATATATATATATATCTGTATATGAATATATATGTATATGCATGTTTTAATAGTTACATATATATATATATATATATATATATATATATATATATATATATATATATATATATATATATATATATTTATATTTATATTTATATTTATATTTATATTTATATTTATATATATATATATATATATATATATATATATATATATATATATATATATATATGTATTTTTGTGTAACATCTTAATTGCATATTTCGCGTTTATATGATGAAAAGCGTACGCTATATAGTTCTCAAACAAAGTGTAAGATGTCAGCAGTGTATTGTGCAACATTACCTTAACGGTAAGCTTCATTTCTGTCCATGTTGGTGCTGTTGTTACTGACTCGACATTGACAGCTATGTTCCCACATTGTAACGGCTGGCCTTGTTCTTCGGGTAAGTAGATAGCTAAGGACTGGAGAAAAAAAAAACATGTTTTTTTTGTTAACTTTATTTCAACATTTACACGTTGAAGGTTGGGGTGCTTTAGATTTTGGTATAACAAACTGTATATTAGGCCGCCAAGAAACCACTCGCTGCAGAAGTGACAACATCAGATTTTTCCAGTCCACCTCATCAAGTCAACATTCCGTCTCGGCTTCTTCAGTTACTTGTAAGCCTTTCACCATATTTTATGTTTGGTTGGCTTGAGTCGGGTACCTATATACAGCTCGATATATTTTTAAACATCTGAACCAAGCTCTTACCCCTGGTCACAAGCCGAATTCGACACAGAACGCTTCTATTATTAGCTTCTATTATTAGCTTCTATTATTAGCTTCTATTTTTAGCTTCTATTAATAGCTTCTATTTTTAGCTTCTATTATTAGCTTCTATTATTAGTTTCTAATATTAGCTTCTATTATTTGCTTCTATTATTAACTTCTATTAATAGCTTCTATTATTAACTTTTATTACTAGCTTCTATTATTGGCTTCTATTATTTGCTTCTATTATTAGCTTCTATTATTAGCTTCTATTATTAATGTTTAACCTGGCATAAAACACTACACTACAGCACTCAATTAGGATAGCGGTTAAATGGTAGAGCTGTTAACTGATAACTCGAGCCTCGAGTTCGGATCCCTGGTTTGAGTCCACTCAGCTTTTAATGGGTACCTGTCTCACGTTAAGGAATCTAAAGGCGGTTTGGCATAGTAATAACCACATTATCGCTTCATACTGCAACTGGTCTACTCTCATTCTCTTGTTCCATGGACCGTAGGATTTTAAAAAAATTACGTTTACTGCAGCACACACACACACACACACATACACACACACACACATACACACACACATACACACACACATACACCTACCTTGTCCTTTTCATAGGATTTAAAAGCAACAATCAAGGAGACGTTATACTGTGTGACCAGTCTCCAGAAATCATTGACCGTAGTGGGCATGGGCAGCTGGGTCAGAAACTGTTTGGTCTGGGTGTACAGGCTCTGGTTTTATATGGGATACAAATCAATAATAGCCGAATAATCAAGTATAAATTATTGTTAGCTCAATAATCAAGAACAAATCATTAATAGCCCAATAATCAAGTACAAGTCAATCTTGTCACAACCATAAACACTTTTCCGATTGCATAATTTATAATGTGTTTCTACAATTGTATATTGCTAAATTTTTATTTTCTTTCTTTAAATAAAAATTAGTTTGTACATTTATAACATCCACTATATTATTTTCAACAAAAGTCCGTATCGTTAAGTGCTCGATATATCGCTGAACATACTGATTATATAGCCTCAAAAATATTGCGAACAGAGAGAGAGAGAGACAAGTGCGCAATGGGCTTTTATATATTAGGATTGTATACAATTAAAAACATTTAAAAACTAAGCGAAAAAACAGAGTCTTACAGGTAATGTGACAGCATTGATATAGCCCTCTTCTCCGGGGGAATCCACTCGTAAAAGAGGTTGATACTTTTTGTCTAAACAATACATAGATTAGTTAATTGATCAGAAATAATTTATAGTATAAGCCGCTTGTGTCATTTCGCTACTTCCGTTCGTCAGTCAACAGTATAGCTACTTTTTCTTCGTTTCTCAAGCTTCATTTCAACTCACGACAATAAGAACATAATTAATGGAATACACGGCCGTTTGTTTGATTAAGCAATTTAATAAAGCGTTAGCGGTTATATTTTATTTTGTGTTTGCATTTTTGTTTGCGTTTGCGTTTGCGTGTTGCGTTTGCATTAGCGTTTGTGTTTGTGGTTAAGTGATGCGTTTGCCATAGCGTTTACATTTTGTTTTGTGTTTATGCTTGTGTTTATATTTGCGTTTCCGTTTGTGTTTGTGTTTGCGTTTGCGTTTGTGTCTGTATGTGTATGTGTATGTGTATGTGTATGTGTATGTGTATGTGTATGTGTATGTGTATGTGTATGTGTATGTGTATGTGTATGTGTATGTGTATGTGTATGTGTATGTGTATGTGTATGTGTATGTGTATGTGTATGTGTATGTGTATGTGTATGTGTATGTGTATGTGTATGTGTATGTGTATGTGTATGTGTATGTGTATGTGTATGTGTATGTGTATGTGTATGTGTATGTGTATGTGTATGTGTATGTGTATGTGTATGTGTATGTGTATGTGTATGTGTATGTGTATGTGTATGTGTATGTGTATGTGTATGTGTATGTGTATGTGTATGTGTATGTGTATGTGTATGTGTATGTGTATGTGTATGTGTATGTGTATGTGTATGTGTATGTGTATGTGTATGTGTATGTGTATATGTATGTGTATGTGTATGGGTATGGGTATGCGTATGCGTATGCGTATGCGTATGCGTATGCGTATGCGTATGCGTATGCGTATGCGTATGCGTATGCGTATGTGTATGTGTATGTGTACGTGTACGTGTACGTGTACGTGTACGTGTACGTGTACGTGTTGTGTACGTGTACGTGTACGTGTACGTGTACGTGTACGTGTACGTGTACGTGTACGTGTACGTGTACGTGTACGTGTACGTGTACGTGTACGTGTACGTGTACGTGTTCGTGTACGTGTACGTGTACGTGTTCGTGTTCGTGTTCGTGTTCGTGTACGTGTACGTGTACGTGTACGTGTACGTGTATGTGCACGTGCACGTGCATGTGCATGTGCATGTGCATGTGCATGTGCTTGTGCTTGTGCATTTGCACGCGCGTGAACGTGTGCGTGTGCTGGTGCTTGTGCTTGTGCTTGTGCTTTTGAATTTGCATTTGCATTTGCATTTGCATTTGCATTTGCATTTGCATTTGCAATTTCATTTGCATTTGCATTTGCATTTGCATTTGCATTTGCATTTGCATTTGCATTTGCATTTGCATTTGCATTTGCATTTGCATTTGCATTTGCATTTGCATTTGCATTTGCATTTGCATTTGCATTTGCATTTGCATTTGCATTTGCATTTGCATTTGCATTTGTCTTTGTGTTTGTGTTTGTGTTTGTGTTACGGTTGTGTTTGCATTTTCGCTTGCGTTTGCGCTTGTGTTTGCGTTTGCGTTTACGTCGATTCTATACTTACACTGACCAAGTAGAAAGTAGAATGTCGATTCTATATTTTTTTTATTAGGTAGAATGTCGATTCTATATTTACACTTACTAGGTAGAATGTCGATTCTTTATTTACATTTACCATGTAGAATATCGATTCTAAAATTTACTCTTACCAAGTAGAATGGTGTTTCTATATTTACACTTACTATGTAGAATGTTTAATCAGTCGTTACGCTGAGTGATAGAATGTTGAGCCTATTTTTACACTTAACTATTAGAATGTTGAATCTGTCTTTACACTTAGTAGTAAAATATAAAATCTATTTTCACACTTACTATAGTTAATGTCGTTGCACACTTACCTGGTGCAATGTCGAATGTTGTGTTACACCTCTTACATACTTAGATTCTAGATTGGTGAATCCATCTTACTCATGTTCCACACTTACCTGATAGAATTTCTGAATCTATCTTTACTGTTGGTATACACTTACCTGGTATAGTGAGGAATCTATTTTTACTATGGGTATTCACTTACCTGGTATAATGAAGAATCTATTTTTACTTTTTGGATCTTGGGTAACGTCCCCTACACCACCAGTAAGTTGTGTCTCAAAACTAAACAGATTCTGAAATAATGGGTATTGAACACCAATTTAATAGTGATTTACTTGAATAAAAATCATGTTGTAAAAGCACATGTTTCACAGTAGGTAATGTGTAACTAATTCTTATTAAGGTTAGGTTGGCTGACCCAAGCACCTATTCCGAGGCTAATGAGGCTGCAACCAATGTAGATGAGGAAATGGAGTCTATTAAGTGATATGACTACAAACTATGCTTTTTTAATTTATGTTTCGGCAACCTAATCTGGTACAAAAGATAATGCATGGTATTCCTTTGAGATATTCCGGCACACTATACTGGTTGTATCTGATAGTCGAAAACATAATTTATTAAACATATTATATAGTTGTAAGGAACCATACCCCCGCATAATAAGAGCTGCCGAGTGTTGGCAATCGAAAAAAAAAATTATTCATTGAGCATTGATGTTTTCATCAAAATATTTTTATTTACAATCACAATACGAAGAAGCAAAGCCACTGAATACAAACTTACATTGAATTCATTTTCAAAATTATTTTTCCCGTCGACGAGGTTCCTCATGAGATGTAGTTTGAGACATATGGCGCTGATGTGTGTATAGCTGCCTGTACAGGCGACGCCAGCCTGCGCGGCGTGGTGCAGGAACATGTACTGCTCCTGGAAAACAAATGCAAGTAGCTAGTCTCTCTCTCTCTCTCTCTCTCTCTTTCTCTCTGAGGCCTGGTCAAGAAGCATGTTCTTCTCCTGGAAGACACATGTTTCGTTAAGTAACAAGTCTCTCTCTCTCCCTCCCTCTGTCCCTCTCTCTCTCTCTCTCTCACTCTATCTCTATCTTCCTCCCTCTCCTTTTCTCTCTCTCTCTCCTTCTCTCTCTCTCTCTTCCTCTCTCTCCTAGTTTGCCCCACTTAGTTTTGGTGTCACATATCTTCTAGTGTGTACTTATATTACCAACACTTCCTCTATGCAGCGAATACAACAATATCGATGACAGTGATGACACAGTACAAAACGTCTGTTAGAAATTATCCAGTGATCTAAACAATTGTCCTAGTATTATTCTTAATAACAATTCAATTTTTACTGGGAGTTTTTTTTTTATATTTTACTAAACAGTTGTACACTTCCTCCAAACTAAACAAGAGTTGTGAAACAATGACAAATTGTTTGGTGATAATTAGAATGCTTGTTTTTTTAACGTTGTATAAATAAACCTAATGCATTTGTAATGTTTGATTCCAATTGAAAAAATTAACTGTAGAGCGTTTCAGAAAGGAGTTGTGTTATTAACTAGATCCGTTGTATGTTTTTCTTTTTTATTTAAATCCGTTAATCCGGCTACTCATATCTCACTTTTTCTCGTATATACACATGTTTTTTTTAGCTCACTCGATGACTCTATTCTAAAACATCTCATGTGTGAGTTATTTTGAAACCAAAATATCAATTCCTTTTTTCTTTTTATCAATTACAATATTAGTGTAGTTTAATATTGATTTAGAATTAGTTAGAATCTAATATCAAGTTAAAAATTTGCTATACAATAATCTAAATCTGATGCTTTATTTAGCGAATAAATTTGCTACGTTTTTGTTTTAAACATTTTATGCAAGAAATAATTTTACATCTTTTGATGAAGGAAAAAATCTTGACAATTTGTTAAAATATTTCATTTAATGTTCGTTATTTTATTTTATTTTTTTATACTAAAGAGCTAGTGAGAAAACATTGCAAGTGCAATAAACCGGGAGTGATCTCCCCTAAACTTTCTCGAATATTTTTATATAAAATAACAGGGGATGGGAACTCGGGCTATAGACATGATTTTTAATCTATTTTAAATACTTAAAGTTTAAAAAAATAGAAAAAAACCTCGTAGACAAAAGAATTTCACGCCAAATAAAAAAGTACATAATAGTGCGCAATATTATTAGTATTTTAAAAATTTACATTAGTTTTTTTAGAAATCGGAAGTAGCGTAAATTACTACTTCCTGTCAACGGAAATGACTCAAAATTTAACAGAAGGTAGAAAATTAAATTTTTAACTTACATGTGAAATTTCGTTTATCTATCTCAAATAGTACGTAAGTTATATGCTTTTGACAATTTCAAAGTAGCAAAAGTACCACTTCCGGTTATCGGAAATCGCTCAAAAGTTGATACGGATCTACGATTTTCATAGAATACTTATATATGAAATTTCATTAACCTAGCTGTTGCGGTACTCAAGTTATCGTGTTTACACATACACACAGACAGACACACAGACACACAGACATACGGACAAGATTGCAAAATTATGTTTTTCCGTATCAGTGAGATGTAAAACGTCAAGATTTGTAAAAATCTCGATTTTTATTTTGCACGATTACAAGACTTTCTCTATAGCCTACTTCTAATATACGAGAAAGTAAAAATGTCATTTCTTGTAACATGTTAATAAATAAACCGGGAGTGATCTCCCCTAAACTTTCTCGAATCTAATATAGAAAGCTGAATCCAGTATATTTGTTTGTAAAAATAAGTTTGTCGTTGACATACTTTTATGGATTTAAGTGTTAGACTATTATCGATCTCATGGTCTAAATTTAACAGTTAAAAAATTACTATTGAAAGTGTTGGGAAATAATTTTAATTTTTCAAACTGATAGTAATAATTGTCGGCATGTTCATTAAACACAATTTTAAAAAAATAACAAAAATTCTAATTATGTCTGAAAATTATTTATATTTAGTCCTTTAGCACTTACTTCCCTTTGATAAATTAGGAAAACACAATTACTTCCCTTTATAAAACATTCCATTAGTGGAAAAGAATTTACTTTTTATTACTTTGTTTTGGTGTTGGGAAAAAAAATAATTACATAATTAGCGGGGATAGATCAAGTGCAAATGTTGTAGGTATTTTACGAATAAGCTTGTAGTATTATAATTGTTCATTTGCTTTGGTTTGGCACCTACGTTCGTTTAAGTGAGTGCAAAAGACTATGAATAAGTTGGGGTACTATAGTCGATTATTAAGCTGAAACAGGCGATTCTGCCCCGGCTAGATTGTGAGCACTTTGCGTTTATGTTCGCGTTAGTGTTTTCTTTGTGTTTAGGTTGGTTTTGCGTTAGTGGTTGCGTTTTGATTTGGTTCGTTTTTGTTCTTTCCTTTTTCATTTTCGTTTGTGTTTTTTTTCTTTGGGTTTGTGTTTGTATTTGTGTTTGTGGTTGGTTTTGCGTTTGGATTTGGTTTGTTTTCGTTTGCTTTTTCGTTTGTGTTTTTTTCTTTGTGTTCGTATTGGTGTTTGTGGCTGTGGTTGGATTTGTTGTTAGGTTTTTGTTTTCGTTTGCTTTTTTGTTTGTTTTTTCTTTGTGTTTGTATTGGTGTTTGTGATTGTGGTTGGGTTTGTTGTTAGGTTTTTGTTTTTGTTTGTATTTGTATTTGTGTTAGCGTTATGTTTGCGTTTTGTTGTTTTGGTTGGTTGTGGTTTGGGTGGGCAATGCCGTGTTTATGATGATAACTAAACACACAGGTAATGGTCTTTAACAGAAAGGTTTTTCACAGAAGCCAGAGCAGGGCCTGGCCGGGACGGCTAGTATTCTTATATAACTTGGAATATAGACATGATTTTTAATTACTTAAACTTTTAAAAATAGAAAAGAATCTCATAGAAAAAAAAATTGCGCACCAAGCGAACGCCAAACAAAATGTGCATAATAGTGCGCAATATTATTAGTACTTTATAAATTTACATGCATTTTTTGAGAAATCGGAAATTGCGTAAATTAGTACTTCCGGTCAACGGAAATTACTCAATATTTGACAGAAGGTAGAGAATTAGATCTTTTACTTACACGTTAAATTTCATTTATCTATCTGAAATAGTACTCAAGTTATAGGCTTTTGAAAAATTCAAAGTAGAAAAAGTACCACTTCAGGTTATCAAAAATCGCTCAAAAGTTGATACGAATCTACGATTTTGATAAAATACTTATATATAAAATTTCATTAACCTAGCAGTAACGGTACTCAAGTTATCGTGTTTACACACAGACAGACAGACAGACAGACAGACAGACACACAGACATACGGACAAGATTGCAAAATTATGTTTTTCCATATCAGTGATGTGTAAAACGTCGAGATTTGTAAAAATCTCGATTTTTTTTTTGCACGATTACAAGACTTTCTCTATACTTCGTATTTACGAGAAAGTAAAAAAGAATGGTTTCTTTTAATTATGATTAGAAACATTTCTGGTGTATAATCTATATACTACTAAAAGTCAAGTTTGTTTACATGTTTCAATATTTATTTTTTTGTTTGTTTTTTTGTTTGGCTGATTAACTATTGCACATGGTTGCACTCATCGTGGAGAGCTGTAAAATAGTATGTAGGTTGAGAATTATTTTTGTTTTAAGTCAGACTGTTAATCACACCTTTATTTAAAGACGTTAATTAATTTATTGATTTATTCATAGGTAGAGTAACCCTATTTTTTTAAAAAGATCAGAAAGACCACTACACTCGGCGGGACCGTGACGTCACAGTTTTTTGTTTACTCTTTAGTACAATAAAATGGCGGCGTCTATCGAAGAAAATTATGTTCCCATTCAAAAGTTTAACGCGTTCTAAATCTAATTTTCTGTCGGTCATAACTTTAACAATACGTCCGTTTGCTGTATTTATTACGTTCCAACACTTATATCAATTTTCAACTGTCTTTTTCATTTAGTTTTACGATAAATTTCTCTAGATCTACAATCTGTCCAAGAAAGTTATTTATAGATCTAGATCTAGAATTTAGAATCTAGGTCAAATCAAAGATTTATTAGTTATAAATACAATCCAAAAAAAACGAGACTTAAGCAAACCAGTCGTAGATCTAGAATATAGATAATTCTATCTAGATTTAGATAATAATGAGTTTCTATATACTAAACTATTTTAGACCTTTATTATTTTGTATAAATCTTTGTTTCGACTATGCAAATTTTGAAATGCTGATTCCAGGGCCTATTTGCGTAGCTTAAGATTCATACGCGGCTTCGATACCGGTAATTTTGCTAAATTATAAACGTAAATTCTAAATATAGCTCAGTCGTAGATCTAAAATATAGATAATTTTCTATCTAGATTTAGAAAATAATGATTTTCTGTATACTAAACTATTTTAGACCTTTATTATTTTATATAAATCTTTGTTTGGAATATGGTAATTTTGAAATGCTCGCTCCGGGCCTATTCGCGTAGCTAATGATTAGATCTAGATCTAGATTCTAGATCTAGCAAGAAAAACTAAACTTAAGACTTAAGCAAACGAGACCTTCTTTATTTTATATAAATCTTTGTTTGGCTAATTTAAGATACAATTTAATTTGAAAGTTACTACTACTAGACTTAGATCTAGATCTATGAGCGTAAATCAAGTTGCAAAAGGAGACTTAAAATATAGTATAAAAATTCACTTGTGACGGCACGAGTAAATAGCTAAGTTGGTAGTGTAGTCGACACTCATGCGGGTGGCACAGGTTCTAGACCAATATGTCAATGATATTTTTTTTTTCATTTTTTTTTTAATGTGAATGATAAAGTTGCCTATCTGAACTTGGCAGGATACAGGGCAGGTGAAGTGGAGTTCCATCTGTTTCTTTGTCCTAAGCATATGAAAGGATAGTGTGGTCAGAGACATGCTCGGCTGGAATCGTTTTTTAAACGATAAAACTTGGCGGGACACTGGGCAGGTGAAGTAGAGTTGAGTAGGTCACCTGTGACGTCAGTATAGGAAGGGATAGTCCGAAATCGGTGTTTTCGTTGTTTTTAAAAGATAAAAAACATATTTTTGAATGTGGGGTCTGTTTTTTGTGACGATAAGTGACACTGCAGTAGCGTAGCGAGGAGGGGGGGGGGGGTGGGGGGGGGAATATGTCCCCGGGCGCCGACCTTAGGGGGCGCCAAAATGGGTTGGAAAAATAAATTGAAAGGTTGAGGGGGGATGCAAATCGAAAGTTTGGGTGGGGGGGGGGGGTTCAAATCAAAATCTTGAGGGGGGGGGGGAGGTGCACATCAAAAGTTTGGGGGGGGGGTGCAAATCGAAATCTTGCGGGGTGGGGGGTTCAAATTGAAAAGTTTGTCCCCGGGTGCCGGGAAGGGTCGCCATGCCTCTGAGTGACAGACGTGATGTTTTTTGATGGATTACCCACGAAACCCACAGTTATCCAACGGATGACGGGTAGTCTAGTCTAAAGTTAAAACTAGAATATTTTTAAAACAGAGTTGTAGAGCGTCGAACTTACAAAGGTTTGAACCGTGTTGGGCATGTCGTGTCTGAGTCTGGAGACCGTGTCGACAAAGTCCACGGCTTGGTTCAGCTTGGCTTGACGGATCAAATCGTGTAGTGCTATAAACACGGAGCTTCTCGTTGTATCCGTCCTGTTAGGTACACACGGGGAATAATGTGTCTAATGTGGTGCCTATATACAATGGCAGAAGTAGTTGATAAAGTACAGACTCGCTTCTGTTATCTCTGTATTAAATGCTATATTTGTCTAAAATAGTTTATAGAATGTATGTGTACTATAAATACTAAATCGAGAAAATGTATATCAAATATAACCACCATATTAACTACTTTACTAACAAAATAAACCGGGAGTGATATCCCCTAAACTTTCTGAAATATTCTTATCTATATATATAATTCTCTTCAGGGAGCCGTTAGAAAACAAGCTGCAAGCGCGCCTTACAGTCCCCTCTCTTCCTCTCTATCGCTACCACCCCCACCCCCTCACATGGTCTGGTGAGCTGTGGTTCAAGCTGTTTACATTTTACAATCATAGAGACGGGTTTGGTGACGGCTATTAGGGGCAGATAATTTAGGTTGAAACGATTTTAAACTTAGAGGAGGTAAATAAGAGGAGGCTGCTTTCACGTGGGGGGGGGGGGGGAATGGGGGTTTAGTGTTTTTAAGCAAATATTTTCAGTGGCAGCATTGGTACTGTCGAATTCACAAATTATAAATTACTGAAAAGTAGAAAAAAAAACAACTAAATAGCGGTGTATGATACGCAGCGGGTCGGCTCGTACAAAATAACAGGGGACGGGAACTCGGGCTATAGACATGATTTTTAATCCATTTTAAATACTTAACGTTTTAAAAATAGAATAAAATCTCGTAGACAAATTAATTGCACACAAAGTAAACGCCAAATAAAAAAAGCGCATAATAGTGCGCAATATTATTAGTACTTTTAAAATTTACATTAGTTTTTTGAGAAATCTGAAGTAGCGTTAATTACTACTTCCTGTCAACGGAAATTACTCAAAATTTTACAGAAGGTAGAGAATTAGATCTTTTACTTACATGTGAAATTTCATTTATCTATCTGAAATAGTACTCAAGTTATAGGGTTTTGAAAAATTCAAAGTAGGAAAAGTACCACTTTTGGTTATCGGAAATCGCTCAAAAGTTTATACGGATCTACGATTTTGATAAAATACTTACATTTGAAATTTCATCAACCTAGCTGTAACGGTACTCAAGTGATCGTGTTTACATACGGACACACAGACAGACAGACACACAGACACACAGACATACGGACAAGATTGCAAAATTATGTTTTTCCGTATCATTGAGGTGTAAACCGTCGAGATTTGAAAAAATCTCGATTTTTTTTTTGCACGACTATAATACTTTCTCTATACTTCGTAAATAAGAGAAAGTAAAAAGTATTATTTAAATTATATATATGTATATATATATATATATATATATATATATATATATATATATATTTTTTTTTTTTATATATATATATATAGTCACAGTTAATACATGTTGTAAAATATGTCGTTTTTATGTCTTTCAAAGCTTACCCAGAATGCACCAGTGTGATAGTTTCTAGTGTGTTTATGAAGACCTTGTGTTCAAAGTCAACCAAACTCCACATACACGGGTCAGACCCGTCTTCTGGCCATGCCGTGTACTGGAAGTGGGTCACACGACGTGGTGGGTTGTCGTCCTTATTATGGGGGAAGAAAGAAACAAGCATTATATTTATAGATGGCAGAAAATTCGATTAAACCTAACACATCCTATGCTAATGTGAGTTTTTGTAATATCCTTTCCTTAATTTCGATATGGTGTGTAATTATAATTGCTTTGTTGTATGACTTTGTTGTAGTACTTATAATTATGTTGCTGTTATTAGTTTACGTTTATCTCGTGTATGCTTGTTATCACCATGTAAATTTATATGAGACAACGTGGTCGGTCGTCTCAAGTTCGGATCCCGGGTTCGAATCGGTGTCACGCCCCATAGCCCACTAAGCTTTGATAGGTTCGTCACTTACATCAGGGAGAGCAAATTCAGCTGCTCATATCACTGACCACGCTATCTTCATATACGCCTACCTTTGTCATGGAAATGGGTAAGCTCTACTTTATCCGAACTAGTGACTGTCAGATACATAACAGCATGCAATTTTACATTTAGTACAATTTTAAAGTTCAAACAAAAATAAATATCGTAATTTTTTTCTTTAAAGGCTTAGCAAAATATCTATCTATATCTTACTTTGTCAATGCGCACAGACGTAATATTTGTTATTTCTACTATTTTAGTTCTATTTTAGAGCGGGACTACACTCTCGACCTTTGAAATAATAGTTAAAATTTTATACCGTTTTAAAAAAGAATAAACTTTTGAAATAAAATACAATTTACTTTTGTGATTTCCAAAGTCCGAATAGTATAATCTAGAAAAACTTCTGTTTTCACCGTCTTCACTCTATAGCAATCAATGTTTTGATCTTTCATTGACCAATAGCTGTATTCATTCTAAAAAAATGATTTTTTGATAAAGTATTTTCTCCTTAGAAATATTCAAGTTATCGAACAAAAAATATAAACAAAACCGCTGTCATTTTCCATACCAATCTTACATGTTTCAAAACACATTTTACATTGGGAAAAATCAGAATTATTATCTATTTAATTGGATAATGGAGCAGTACTCTGATGTTTGTGTGTTTTTGCAACTTACATCGATTTTCTCTGTGCTAATCATGACGACTTTTACAACTTGTTTGTCCCATAGCAGATTGAAAAAGCCGACCACAGTCGCAGCTACCGGACCTACGAGAAGATGTGAAAAAAATGAATGAATGTTATTTACCTAAGCAAATATTCGTAATAACAAATTTTGCTACTGACTATAGTAATATTTAAAGTAATTTTTAACTATGTAATGTCTAATTAGATTGGCAATTAGATACTGTTACGTTGTTATTGTAATAAATTTTACTTACTCAAGCATAAATTGAAAACAAGTTAAATAGTTTTTATTTCACGAAGACCTTCAAAAGCAAGTTAAATTACTTTCATTGCCTTAGGCTCAACTTCTTTCAATGATAAAAATGTGTATACGTATACAAAGTTAGTAATCCAAGCTAGACTCAACATTAACACATTTTACTAGAGAATATATGAAAACGTTAACAAATTACCTTGTGATACTATTATTTCTTCTTTAGCCAACTTAAAGAAATAGAATAATTCAACATGGTTAGTCAAAACAAGAAATATTCAGGTTTTTTTTTTATTCATGTTTCAACCCAAAATCTAGTTTATTAATATGTGCAAAGTAACAAATTGAGTATTATTGATGTATAAACGTATTATAATATGAATGTGCAAAATATGTATTAGCCGAAGTGAATAAGATAAAAACAGTATTTTTCATGTATAGGAAGAGAGAGTTAAGTTATAGATTTTACATTGTGTTGCCGGTATGAATTAGCGTCTTGTTGTAACAATTATTGAAAACCAAGTTATAAACATCTTGAGATATTTAAAGAACATGCACAATAAAATTTACTTTACAAATTTTAGCTGCGCCATTTTTAAATAAAGAAAAAAAGTCATTACATACAAAAATATGGATAATCGTACTGATTTTAAAATTATATGACAGCAAGTAAAAATACTAAAAAATAAATCACTTTCGTTTTGTGTAGTCAAAACATGTTTTGCTGAAAAATTATCTAAACAAGTACATTTTCGAATAATCTCTTTTTAGTACTTTAAAAGCCTTATTTCACAAAAGTATTTACCTCAATTTTTTTTTTACTTTTTAACAATTAGGAATTAAATTGCAAAGATAAATGTAACTTGAAACTGTTTAAATGAATACCTTTATTTATTTTTATATATCATGTATTTATTAGAGGTTTTAGTTTAAGATCAGATAATTAGCGAGCGCTCTTAACTCTAGACGACACACCTGTCTCATTAACGTCGGTCACTAAGTTTCAGGTGTGTAAACTCACGATTACAACACACCAGTCTCCCCCCCCCCCCACACCTCTCCCAAGTGGTTACAGCTAACTTCGCTACCGACTCTAGAAAAATTTAAAATATATTTAAAATAATTAATGATGTAATATCTAATTAGATTTGAAATTATATACTCTTGCATTGTCATTGGAAATAAAAATTTCTGGAAAGATTGAGTTACTCGATTCAACAAGAACCCCACCAGAGACGGAAGATTTAACTAAAGTAAAAACAAAACAATACATATTAAACATCCGCGCCTCACCGCCAGAAATGAGAGGCTGAGCAAATTGACAGGCTTTTTCTCGGGCCACGGTGTGACGTGGATGCATGCATGGTCATCTGGGGATGTAGACCAATGGTCATTTATGGTGTAAAAGGTGTTCAAATAGATATGAACAAATGTATGTATAATGGGGATGTTAGTTCTTGATTGTTGATGTTTTAAACGTATTTTAAAATAATAATTTGAAATTAAGAAAAATAAAAAAATTAAATTAATAGGACAGTGAACATTGGTCTGATGGCAAACATTCCGTCACGTTATTCTAGAACTATTTGTCACTTTTGTCAAACCCTTCTATACTTATGTTACGCACTATAATACTTATATATTCCCTGATTTACTCGTTACGCGTATACAATATTTTGTTATAATTATCTGTTATTTTAAGAAAAAAAATTAATTCAGACACTAATTCAGTAAATCAAGGGTTAATATCCCACTTAGACTTAAGTTACGGCCTCCAACATTCACATGATAACTTCATGCTTTACCCACTAACACACATAAACTTATTTTCTCACACACATTTCATTCATAATACAGTGACGATGTAATAAGAAACCAACGACTTACAGGTACCAGCCGTGTACTTTTTCTCAACTTTTTCACCATCATACACAGTTGGTATAGACTGTGGAATATAAATACTGTCATAATATAAATCAATACAGAAAAATTAGCTGTCTTTAAGCATTTTAAAAATATACTTGAAGTCAACACACGATAAAATTTCAAAGGAACGAAAAATGAAAAAAATTATTCAAACTTTTTAGTGACTACCTTGAACTGGTTAAGAAAGAATTCCTTGTTGTGTCCCAGTATGTAGACCTTTAGATTCGCGATGGGCACTGACGTATCTGTTTTGGTGGTTTCGTTCGGAAATAAACAAAACATACAATACTAATACACGACATTAATGCATATATAGGTGACGGAAGTTTATCCAAAGGTAGTTTTCTAGAAATAAAGACAAAACCCAAATACAACACATGCACACGCACACATACACACACACACACACACACATATATATATATATATATATATATATATATATATATATATATATATATATATATATATATATATATATATATATATATATATATATATACATATGTATATGCCTATATATGTGCTTAAACAAATGCTTATGTATGCTTATAGGTGAGCCGTTGCTCGTGCGTGTGAGTGTATGTGTGTGTGTGTTTGTGTGTGTGTGTGTGTGTTTGTGGTTATGTGTGTGTGTTTATGTGTGTGGGGAGGGGATGTATGCTTTAAAACAATAAAAAGCAGCCTGGTATACAATACAATAAGAATGAGATTGGTAGAATCAAGAGACAGAATAAAATGAAACAGAATAGAATTTACCTGGGACAGCCTCAGTCTTAACTGTTTTCATTTTTCTAGACAAATGGAGGAAATGTCTTTAAGAATATATTTATAAGGAAATCTATATATATATATATATATTTCTTTTGCTTCGTTCTTAATTCTATTAAATATTTCGTGTCAACTTGTCCTGCGCTATTTAGGCCGATGACCCTGGATTTTTTTTTTTTTTTTTGTGGTTTTCTTTTTGGTTGATTCCATAGCTTTTGTCCAACCAAGAACAAACTTTAAGGCAGCAATTGTTTGATTTTGTAGGTGCCTATCCCAGATGAGTAGCAGTACCCAGGGGTAGTCCATAAATGACGTCACACTCGTATGGGGGAGGGGGGGTCCGTAATTTCGTGACGGCTTGGGATGAGGGGGAGGGGGGGGGGGGGGGTCAGATGGTGTGACGTCACACTTTTGCTTTATAAAAAAAAGCAATGTTAGAAAACGAATTTTAGACGTTATTTCGAGTTTTAAAAAACTGTTTTAATTTATTGTAATAGGAATTGATTAAAATACTCTTTTTTGACAGAGTTCAGACAAGATTTTAGAAAAATATCGATGTTTAGAAAAAATGAAACTGCAATTTTGATTGGGGTTGTGTGACGTCATTTTAGGGGGGTCTGGCATTATATGACGACGTGTGACGGAGGGAAGGGGGGGGGAGGTAAAAATCGTCAAAAAAGTCTGACGTCATTTATGTATGACCCCCCCCCCCCCCCCACCAGCTGTTAAGCCTCGTCTGTCCGGGTTTCAAACTCGAGACCTCTCGAATATTTTCTCTTATTTAGTCTGTTCACAATAGCAAATGTATTGAAATAGAACAAGTAATTGACACGTTAAATCAGTACTCTACAGAGCGCTACGAACCTGCGTATGAATATAAAGATGACCAGGATTGCAATAAGTAATGCGGACAGCACAATCAGTAAATACAGTATATATGTATCATCCTTGTTTTCTGTAAATTATTTACATTGTGTCATGTATTAAACATGGTGTATATACATTCTTGAACCATACAGGAATGTATATACAAATGCATATGGAAACACAATACATAAATAAAAAATTAAGTAACAAATACACGAGTGAACATAACATACTCATATAAAAATACCATCGGGTCCAATATAGTGATGTTAGTTATGTAAGCAGAGTTTCTTTCAGGCATCTATTACTGGGGAGACTGAAGAAAGTCTACTGCCCCCCCCCCACCCCCAAATTGAAATGAAATTCATATAGAAAATATATGGACATTTAGTCCGCCCCACCCCCTTCCGAAAATTTCAAGTACGCCGCCCCCGATGAAAAAAGTTCGATTGAAAGAAACACTACGTACAAGGTATTGTCTCTACTCCTGTAAAATGAAGACCCGTTAAAACTACAACCAATTTCATTTATTGGAATATGTATAAATTAATAATTAAATTTGTCAAAAACTATGTTAGAAAACAAATCGATTCCTTGTTCTGGATGTTCAAACTTTCTCTTGGCAAGCGTGTCTCGACCACACACTCACCCTCGGCATTTGGGTCAGCTAGAATCTTGCTTCTTAAAACACTATCTCCGCAGATGGCGTCACAGAGGCGTTTGATCTCAGTAGACTCGGGCACACAATCAGGGTCGCATTGTTGTTTGCAGTTGGGCCCGAAAATTGTGTCGATACACTCTGTGGAAGTTTAAGGGTTAAATTGGTTCTAGTTAAAGGGTTAAAGTGGTTCTAAAAGGGTTAAATTTTCCCTATATAAACATTAATAATTTTTTGAAAAACGATGACTGTTTTTAAAACAATGTTATGGAACTTTGGCTCTCTATATCTGGCTCATTTTTTTCATAAAATGGATAAATGAATCGGCTATATATATGTATATATATATATATATATATATATATATATATATATATATATATATATATATATATATATATATATATATATATATATATATATATATATAACTTTTGTATAGGATATGCTCACAAATAAAATTTAAATTGCAAACTTATATATAAAAACTAGTTTATTTAACCACACTCAAAGTATGAATTCTATTAAAATAGAAACTGTAACCTATATAGGGCCTACTGTGTAAATGCTTTAGTTGCAATAAATTAATTTAAATACTAAGTTGCAATAAATTAATTTAAATACTTAAATCTTTACAGATTTTCTTCTGGTGTAAGATCTAAAAAAAATCCTCTTTAGCTCATTCTTTATTTTGCCCTAAATATGTGTCACTGAGATCTCTATAGATAGGCTTATCTTGAGCATGAATAACTAAACAAAGGAAGAATAAAAACTAAAGTTAACAAGTTAATTAAAATTAAACCAAAACCAATAATCTTTTTTTTTTAAATTTGAGGGATGGAAAAGAAATTTCCATTTTAAACATAGTTAACATCTATCACTAGATGAGACACACTTGAAGCACCAGAGGCAAAACCTAAACATTCAAACAGCTAAATCGGCTAAATGATAGGCGCGAGAGTTTCAGATCGATCAAAACGACTACATTTTAAAATTAGCTAAAATGAAAAACAAAGACAATTTTTTTTTTATTTAAAACTCTATAGTAAAATCCGTATAAAGACTCCGAGCATATGCTAAAAGGAAAACAGTTTCTTTGATTCTGTTTGTATCATGTTATTACTTGTATACGGATGTAGCTTAAGGCTATCTATACGCTATGATGTAATTGTATGTGGCTTGAGAGTGCCTACATAACAAATGCATCACTTGTATAAAATACACAAAAAATAATTTACCCTGCTCACAGTAGTCTCCCCGCCATCCAGGGGGACATCTCAAACACCGGCCTGTGATGCTGTCACAGGTCTGATTCTCACATTTGACGCTGCAGTTGAAGGCACATTCCTGGCCGTAGGTTCCATGTTCGCAGTCTATAAATAGGTTTCAACAATCTTGAGATTGAGTATGTTTAAACACATTTTGAGAAAGTCAAAAAAATATGTTTATCAAATTTCGAAACAGTTCTTAAGTCTGTTTATACATACTCAAGGCAATTTATGTAATCTTAAAACCGTCTAAAAATGATTAAATATATTTTGATAGAGTCAGAAAAATGTTTTAGATAGTCTTGAGACCGTCTAAACACTTTAATATGCTATATTTTTACCTTGATGAGTTTAATAATATTTTGGTATCAAACCGCTATATTAAAACATACTAATAATAATACTGGTAATACTGAAACGAAACCTAATGACGGCATACGTATCAAAACCATGATATCAGTTAAGTTAGAGAATAAAATGTTCACTTGTATAAAATACACAAAAAATAATTTACCCTGCTCACAGTAGTCTCCCCGCCATCCAGGGGGACAACTCAAACACCGGCCTGTGATGCTGTCACAGGTCTGATTCTCACATTTGACGCTGCAGTTGAAGGCACATTCCTGGCCGTAGGTTCCATGTTCGCAGTCTATAAATAGGTTTCAACAATCTTGAGATTGAGTATGTTTAAACACATTTTGAGAAAGTCAAAAAAATATGTTTATCAAATTTCGAAACAGTTCTTAAGTCTGTTTATACATACTCAAGGCAATTTATGTAATCTTAAGACCGTCTAAAAATGATTAAATATATTTTGATAGAGTCAGAAAAATGTTTTAGCTAGTCTCGAGACAGTTAATATGCTATATTTTTACCTTGATGAGTGTAATAATATTTTGGTATCAAACCGCTATATTAAAACATACTAATAATAATACTGGTAATACTGAAACGAAACCTAATGACGGCATACGTATCAAAACCATGATATCAGTTAAGTTAGAGAATAAAATGTTCACTTGCATATAATACACAAAAAATAATTTACCCTGCTCACAGCAGTCTCCCCGCCATCCAGGCGGACAACATAAACACCGGCCTGTGATGCTGTCACAGGTCTGATTCTCACATTTGACGCTGCAACTGAAGGCACATTCCTGGCCGTAGGTTCCTTTTTCGCATTCTATAAATTGGTTTCAACAATCTTGAGATTGAGTATGTTTAAACACATTTTGAGAAAGTCAAAAAAATATGTTTATCAAATTTCGAAACAGTTCTTAAGTATGTTTATACATACTCAAGGCAATTTACATACCAAATGCTTTACGTGTAGAAAACACACACACACATATAATATATATATATATATATAAATAAATAAATATATATATATATATATATATATATATATATATATATATATATATATATATATATATCTACGCGACGGCTAATATCAGAGCTACATTGTTTTAAAAAATTCTTAACTTGTGTTTCAAATATCCTCAAAGTTTAGAAATAGATTCATCAAAAAAAAAAAGTTTTACCCTGCTCACAGTAGTCTCCCCGCCATCCAGGGGGACAACTCAAACACCTGCCTGTGATGCTGTGACAGGTCTGATTCTCACATTTGACGCTGCATTTCAAGTCACAATCCTGGCCGTAGGTTCCATGTTCGCAGTCTATAAATAGGTTTCAACAATCTTGAGACAGTCTAAAAGTATGTCTAAAAGATCAATCAGAAATTGTTACCTCCGCTTCGTTTCAAATCGGTTAATTCCAAATTATCTGTCCCTAACCCGACTATACGATTCTAAACATTCGGGGTGAACCACAGCTCACCTGACAGGTTGGGATGAGGGTGGTGGCTAAGCTGCGTGGTGATTATAGTCTCCGTGAAGAGAATTATATATATATAGATATTTTCCATACCAATAGTACTGTCTGTTTTTAACACGTTTTCCTTAACTCAGCTTCGCGTTTGTTTGTTTATTTGGATGTTTGTTGTTAAAATTGACATCGAAAATTAGCCCACTTCTGATTGCTCTATAGATCTGACATTTGGCATGCAGGCTACTTTCGCCTAACAATTTCAGATGCAATCATAAAAACTAGCAATTAGAGACCGTAATTAGCTTAATTTAATTACACCTCAAGGACCATAAAATTGAGGACATGATTTCTAAAGATACCGACAAGACTGGAGGCCTATTGACACAGTTACTTCGGCCCCAATTGATGTGAGCGCGCTGGCCGTGATCGTATAGTGGTTAGTACTTCGCGTTGCGGCCGCGACAACCCAGGTTCGAATCCTGGTCGCTCAAGATTTTTAGTCCGTGTATTTATAAACACTTAGTCAAGTTATACTTAATCAAGTCATTAGATAAAGTAGAAAATAAACTATATAAAAAACTTTTTTAAAAACCACGTTTTTCATGTGTAGCAACGGACTAAAAAGGAGAAAATAAAATACTTAAAAAAACTTTTTTAAAAAACCACGTTTTTCTTGTGGACTAAAAAGTAGAAAATAAATTTTTCTTTTGTGCTTCCTCGAGCTGTGCAGATTCTTGTGATGACTGACAAAAAACGTGGGTCGGGCAGATGGGTCGGGAAATTTGATGGTGAACGTACCTACGTTTTTTGTCAGTCATCACAAGAATCTGCACAGCTCGAGGAAGCACAAAAGAAAAATTTATTTTCTACTTTTTAGTCCACAAGAAAAACGTGGTTTTTTAAAAAAAAAAATGTAAGTATTTTATTTAATGTTTACCTTCTATTTACTAGTACTAGCGTGCTCTTCGGGATAGAAGAAAAACTGATGATATATGTAAGAAGCGTTCTATCAATGCGTTACCAATCATGTATTATTAGACGTGTGAGCTTTTTGTTTCTAATACTGAGTTTAAATTTAAATGTTAACAATGCCTGCGCCTATATTATATATATATATATATATATATATATATATATATATATATATATATATATATATATATATATATATATATATATATATATATCGGGGCACTTGTTTACCTACCGCATGAAATCATGGTGAGGTAGAACACACTGTGGTGATCGCCCAGGTTACACTACCTCAGGGGCTCCGCGTACGGTCACTGGCTGTTTAAGTTAACTTAAGCGCCCTGATGCTCACAAGATAACCCAGAGAGCCTAATAGCTTATTGAAATATCGCTCACGGGATACCATTGGGCATCAAATTGCGCCCTGCAGGGGCAAGTGCAAACTCGACTGGTTAAATTTATTAAACGACTATAAAGCCCTAACGTATCCATATCCGATCGTGCTTTTGAAAAAGAACGTACGCGCCATAGTGCTCTCGGGTAATCTTGTGGCACCATATCACCCCCCTGCGAGGACGCACCTGATTCGATAAAGTCAACGATTATTGTTATTGATAAAGACACAATGTCCTTAGTGTATAGCCCTTTTTTAAACGATCGTAGGTCCTCATTTCTCACAATAGGGTTGAAGTTTTAACGCTGAATATAGTAGTCTTCCTACCCGCTATGATAACGGACATCAAGTGCTAAGATAGCCGATTAAGAAACCTGGGCGCCAAACCATGTGGTGACAAAAGACCCTTTTTCACAGAAAACGTCTCGAGAGTATTCTCATCAAGTATCCAAAGTTTCATGGCATTCGGATGAACGGTGTCAAACCGCATCCTATTTGTATTTTTAATACTGTATATAGAGAAAAATCGCACCCTTGCGAAATTAAAAACGTTTTTTTTAAAGGAATCCTCACCTTTAGTGTTTTCATCTACTCCCCAAAGTTTCAAGGCGGTTGGATGATTGGTGTCAAACCGCAAACGACTTTAATTTTATATACCATGTTTATAGAATAATTGAATATCGCACTGCCGGGGTCACCACTGCGACTTTTTGAATTTAATTCTCGCAAACACCTCCCCAGGAATATTCTAAAAAACTTCCGAAAGTTTCATAAAAATAAGGTGTAGTAATGTATAAAAGACACACACACACACACAGAGATACACATACATTGCTTTATAGATAGATGAAGATATTGCTATTTCTGGTTTTACAATTGAACCCACGGATCAAAATGTGTGGATCCTATACGTTACCTTTGTAGCAAAACGCTCGTGATGAGAAGCACTCGACGCATGAGCTCTCGACATTGTTACAGGCCTCGGGTTGGCACTTACGCTGGAACTTAGAGGCACATCCTTGGTCGAAATAGGGATTGGTGCATACTAAAAACATGTACAACGTATCATTAGTAATATCAGAGTTATCAAAAAGCCCCCTATTACACTACCGCAGGCTCACCGCGTACGGCACATGGCTTCTCAATACTAACATATGTGCAATAGTGCTCACAGGATAACCCATACCGCCAATTAGCATCCTGAAACAATAATGCAGATTGCGTCATCGCTATAGTGACACAAATCAATAGGATTTTTTTCTTTAACATGTAGGAAAAAAATTATTTGAAGTGTTATAAACATCAGTTATGACTGATGCAACTTGTTAGCGGTATTAGTGGTTTTTTATTATATGCTCGATCTCAAGTTCTAATTGGTCGTCTACCCACACTAATGCATGAAAATATAGTGTATATATATATATATATATATATATATATATATATATATATATATATATATATATATATATATATATATATATATATATAAATATAGATATATATATATATATATATATATATATATATATATATATATATATATATATATATATATACACTACAGTATCTAACGTTAGACCACTTAGCCCCTACAAAAACCTCAATAAATAATCTACTTCTGAAGTAACAACAACTGATGTTCTTAGATCTCAACCCATTTGTGTAGCATGTTATGTAATTTATGTCAATCTTGGTTAAGCAGGGAAGTTATCAGACACATACAATTGCTACCCCCTCAAATTTTTTTACCTACATAATACCAAGCCCTCACCATAAAACTCCATCTCTTTGTAGGTAACATAGATTGCTGCTCTTAGATCTCAGCCGACAAGAGATAACATCTCTAATGTAATTTATTACCCTAAAGGCGCAGCACGGAAACAATGGTGAAATCAGTATGACTAATCTGCTTCTAAATTTAACTAACCTCAATCCAGTATCAGATACATATTATTAGACACATATTAGGTAGGACTAATTAATTTATTAAAGCCTTTTAAAACAAAAATAGTAACAACTATTAAAATTAAATTCAAGGAGCGGATTCTAGGTTTAAGTCTCGTCACACAATCTATTTCAATTTCAGATAATTTTGTTTGCTAACTAAAATAATTAGAATCTACAACTAGATTCTAGATATTTGAGACAATTATATTTTTTTTTATTATTATGTCTATTTGTTTTTATTAATTATTGAATTATTTTGAATCGAATATAGATCTCAATGTTTTTTTTTAATTAAATTTAATTTTTCTTGTAGTTTAATTTAATTGAATAAGTAGATTTTAGATTCTGTGTCTACCTAGCGTAGCCAGTTTCGTGGACAACATGATTAGATTTTGAGCTAGATTTTATATCTTAATATTAAATAAATATTCCAATTAAATGTTATTATATTTTTTGACGTAGGTGAATGTCAAGCGTATTTGTTTTATTAACAGAAGTCTTGTGTTAATTAAAACGAAGTTTATTGTTTACTGTCCCTAACAAAAGCAAAGTGTCGAGAACATATTCGCATTTGATTTGCCGCTGCTTCACTCACGCCACTTTGATAAATATTGGCTAACAATTGACAGCGTCTACGTTCTGTTAATTGTCGATCTCTATCACCTTAGTTTCATATAACTCTTGGCTGTCGAAGTAAACGAATTCCTTTAGATCTGCAACTTCTTGTATCACAGCCTTTTACAGCACAGATTGTCATTTTGAATGTGGATCCGTAACGTCATATCAAGGACTCTATACCCGGCATGGATGTTTGTCAAATACAGACATAACCCATAAATCCAACTCTAACTTTAACCAAAAACAGTGAGTTTGCTTGTGTGTTTGCATTGTGTTTGTGCTTTTATTTGTGTTTCTATTTACGTTTGTTTTTTCTTTTGTGTTTGTGTGTGTGTTGCGTTTGTGTTTTCGTTTGTGTTTTTTTTTGCATTGTATATATATATATATATATATATATATATATATATATATATATATATATATATATATATATATATATATATATATATATATATATATATATACATACATATAGCTCAAATGGTTTATGTGGCTCTGTATGAGGCGTAAAGCGGACAGAGCACGGTGCCTAAAGTGTTTATTATCTAAAATAATGATTAGAAAAATTATTATAATATGAGGTTTTGTAAAACAAGTTTCATTTCCTAAACGTATCATTTTAAATAAAGTCATGTGGAAAAAATAAAGTCAAAGAATTTGAATCATCTTTCAAAAAAAAAAATTTAAGTGTTATTTTTAATTACTTGCCTTCATTGATCACAAAAGTTTTTTAACTTATCTTTATGAAAAAATATTATATCGGGGGTGGGGGGGGGGGGATACTTTTTATTATTGTAAATACTGACTTTAATTTATTTTATACACAGAACGCACTGCACTGTTTACTAATTATTTTTAATCAATAACAGTTAAGAAGCCGCTACTAAATGTCCTCTATGTTTGCGGACAAGCTTG